CAAAAATACAACCTAAGGCTTTTTCACTAAAACCTTCCAGAGACTTTTTAGAAAACCCACTGTATTAAGGTATAATTCACACACCATCCCCAGTACACTTATGGAAAGCGTATAGTTCCGCACTCTCCAACATAGTCTCAGGTATGTTCAACCATCATAATTTTCGAGTATTTTCATTATCTCAGAAAGGAACCTGTACCCTCCAGCCGTCACTCATCTCCCGCAGCCTCTTCCCAAACCACTAGTCTACCTTCTGTCTCTATAGATTTGCCTATTCTGGACATCGCATATAAATGCAATCACACAATTTGTGTCTTTTGTGTCTGGCTTCTGTCCCTGAGCATAATGCTCCCAAGATCCATCCATGTTGTAGCATGTGTCAGCACTTCATTCCTTTTTATGGCTGAATAATGTTCCATTGTGTGGATGTGCCACATTTTGTTTATCCATTCATCAGTTGAAGGACAGTTGGGTTGTTTCCACTTTTTGGCGATTATGAAGAATGCTGCTGTTCACATTGGTTTACAAGTTTTTATGGGCGTATGTTTTTATTTCTCCTGAGTATATACTTAGGAGCAGGATTGTGGCTGGGTGTCTTAGTCTTTTTAGGAGGCAAAGTACCACAGACTGGGTGACTTATAAACAACAGACATTTATGTCTCACAGTTCTGGAGGCTGGAAGTCCAAGATAAGTCACCAGCATGGTCGCCTTCTGGGAGTGCCCTCTTTCTGGTTCAAAGCCAGTGCCTTCTTGCTGTATCCTCACATGGTGGAAGGGGCTAGGGGTCTCTCTGGAGCCTCATTTGTAAGGCATTCATCCCATTCACGACAGCTCCACCCTCATGACTTAAGAATCTCCCAAAGGCCCCACTTAATGTCTCCCTGGGGGGAGGGGGGTTGGGGGGGTTAGGATTTCAACACATGAATTTGGGGGGTGGGACTCAAACATTCAGGTCATAGCACTGGGCCATACGATAACCCTGTGTTTCACATTTTGAGGAACTACCAGATAGTTTTCCACAGGGCTGCTCCATTTCACATTCCCACCAGCAGTGTGTGAAGGTTTCCATTTCTCCACACCCTTGCTAACACTTGCTATGTCTGTATTTCTTCTGTCAGCCATCCTAGAGGGTGTGAAGTGGCTATTTTGATTTGCATTTGCCTGATGCCTAATGATGTTGAGCATCCTTTGATGTGCTTAGTGACTGTTGTACCCACTGCATTTTTTTTAATTGTAACATATAGCTTCTGTGCAAAAAAGCACACAGGACATTTACACTGATTTAAAAGAAGAATTATAATGCGCCTGGGTGGCTCAGTCGTTAAGCGTCTGCCTTCGGCTCAGGTCATGATCCCAGGGTCCTGGGATGGAGCCCCACATCGGGCCCCCTGCTCAGCGGGAAGCCTGCTTCTCCCTCTCCCACTCCCCCTGCTTGTGTTCCCTCTCTTGCTGTGGCTTTCTCTGTCAAATAAATAAAATCTTTAAAAAAAAATAAAAGAAGAATTATAAAGCATCCGTATCAAGGAACAGACATTGCCAGCACCCCAGAACCAGGTGACCCCTGTCAACCACAGCTCCTCGCACCCCACCCCGGAGACAGCCACCATCTTGATATTTGTGACCCTCATTTCTTGATTTCTTATTGTGACCCTCATTTTTTGACTTCTTATTATACTTTCCACCTCTGTAGGTGCCCCCGGACAATACAATCTACTTTTGCCTACTTTTGAACTTGATATAGATGAACTCATTCCGTGGACGTCTTTTCCGATTGCTTTTTTCCCTCCCCACTGTATTTCTGAGCTTGACCTCTGTTGGTGTGCTTTGCTGTAGCTGTTCATTGTCACTGTCCTGTAGTGTCCCGCTGAGTGCACCCCTCAGCTTATCCATCCCACCATGGCTGGACATACGGAGAGTGCCCAGTGTGAAGATACCATGAAACCACACTGGGCACTCTCCACATGTCCTTCAATGCTGCTGTGTGAACGTCCTTGAACCTGTTTCCTGTGCACACAAGCATTTGATTCTCTCAGGTATATGCCTTGGAAGTGAAATTTCTGAGCCATAGGTCAGCATGTCTTATTAGACACCGTGCGGTGTAGGCACACCCGCCGGCCGTGCTGAGGGTTCTAGGTGCCCCGCATTCTCAGTATCGTCTGAATCCGTTCTGAGTGTCCCCCAGCACGTGTGTGTTGAAATCTCTGACTGCACTGCAATCCCAGTCAGTCGGAACCTGCTGCCTAACCCTGCCCCCAAAGCGCATCGCCACACCCCTGAGCCTTGCTCTTTTCCCACGCTTCTCAGGCCCAGGCAGGGAGGAGGGCTGGACGCTTAAGAACTATCTCCTCACTGACAACCAGAAGGGACATCTGTGTTATCTGGGGGGCTGCTCATCCAGTAGCAGCTGCGCGTGTGTGCAGGTCGTATGAGGACGACAGCACACAGTAGGTGCTCTGTCACACTAGGTGTCCTGGAATCAGAGCATTCAGCCAACTGAAATCTCTGTCCCTGAACATTCTGGATGCTTGTGGCATTGCTGGCTCATTTGATTCCAGATACTGTGGTTGAAACAGGGTGGTGCTCCCTTCCCGTTGAGTCCACTGACCCGAGCACTGGTCACCTCCTCCTGGAAGCAGAGCTCCCAGGACTGGGAGGACCCTGAACAGGAGCCCATCCTTGGAGACAGGAAACTTATCTTGTCACCTCTGTGTCCCCAGCACCCGTACCGGCCCAGGCCCAGAGGCAGAGCTAATGACTATTTTTTGAATGTCTGATTCTGTTCTAGCACCCTGGCTTTTGCCAAGAAAAGATGGAATTGACTTCATTCCATGTTTCAGTGAAGGCGGCTGAGGCCCAGAGAGGGGGTGTGACAATTCCAAGGTCACAAAGCAAGTCAGCAGAGCCACCAAGCAGTTGATTCACAACCCTCAGCAGTAAGACCCTTGCCTCTGAATGCCCCACAGACCAGCTCCAGGACTTAGCTGAGCCTCAGTTTTTACCCCTGTAAAATGGAATCATATTAACCTCATAGAGTTAAATAATGCCACATACGAAAACATGGGCCCAGTGCGTGTACAGGTGATTAATAAATGTTCAGTCATTTACTCATTAATCCACTTTTTTTTTCACTCTATAACAGGCAAAGTTAATTTGCCAGTCCAGATGAAGACCATGAAAATGCTCATACACTGTGACCCAGAAACTATGCTCACTAGTACATCCCCATCCCAGTGCCTGGTATACAGCAGGAGCTTCATAAATGTCTGTTGGGATAAAATCGGGCTGAAGATGATGAAAAAGGAAGAGAAGCTTTAGTTCCAAAGATACTTCCTTCTATAATATAGTTTAAACAAAGAAAGAAGGCAGGGAGAGAAAAGATTTTAAAAAGAACAAACCCCAAAGCCTGAAAACAACCTAAATATCCAGTACCACGGGGGTTTGGTAAATGTTGTTTTCTTTGCTTGCAGGGATATTCCAAGGCAGGGGTCAGCAAAATATGGCTCACGGGCCAACTGCCCATGTACCAGCCATTAGTTTTGCCTGTCCTTGAACTTCTTATCGGTGGAATCACACAGTCAGTTCTTTCTGGCATCCAACTTCTTTCACTCAGCATTACATCTTAGAGATCTGTTCTTTTTGTGTGTATTATTAGTTCATTCTTTTCTGTTGCAGTCAGGTGCTTCATTGTATGATTACAATTAGTTACAATTACCATCCATCCCCGTTTTGCATACGGGGAAACTGCAGCACAGAGGACTCAAGGAAGTTGCCCAAGGGCACACAGCAGGTTGGTGTTAGATCTGGGATTTAAACCCAGGGTCCAGCATCTGTGCTTTTCGGGGGTTCACCGTATAGTGCTGCGTCTCAGTGCTATGGCGATGGGAGCCCGAGGAGAATTGGGAACTCAGAAGAAGAGGCACACCATGTAGCCTGGAGGTCAGGGAAAGCTGCCAGGGAAGGCTAAATCAGAGCCAGGGTTCCCAGCCTCGGGTGTTCACCGTGCCTGGCAGATGTCATAAGTGGTCAAAGCAGATGACCTCTGAAAATACACACTCGAGGTCAGGGAGGCAATATGGAGTGGTGGGTACTCTGACAGACTGAGGGATGCCAGCCTGGGAAGGAGGCAGCTGCTGGGACAGCTCCAGGTGTTGCTGCCATGTGACAGTGCTGGCAGAGGCTGCGGGGAGCAGGACGGCCATGCTGCCATTGGTGGCCAGCTGCCCTCCCCGTAGGTCAGTCCTCAGCTGTACCCATTAGTAAATGATTTGAATCTCACCCTAGAGTTGCCAGATGCCCTTTCTGTTTGCCAAAACACAGAAACCAACCAACCAACCAAACCCAGAAGTCTATCTGCTGGTTTTTAAATGTTGGTTCAAAAATTATTTTAAACCTGTGCAGGCCAGGGGCGCCTGGGTGGCTCAGTCGGTTAAACGTCTGCCTTCCGCTCAGGTCAGGTCCCGCGTGGGGCTCCCTGCTCAGTGGGGAGTCTGCTTATCCCGCTCCCTCTGCCCCTCCCCACTGCTTGTGCTCTTGCTCTCCATCTCTCTCTCTTAAATAAATAAATAAAATCTTTAAAAAAATAATAAAAAATAAATAAAGCTGTGCAGGTCAAAGAGAACCCTCTGCGTGCCCTGGACTGGCCTGAACTGACCTGAGCACCACCAATCTAAGGACCAGATAGGAGTTGGGAGGGGCCGGGAGAGCAAGTGAGCTCCAGGTAGAAGCACAGCACAGAGGCCAGGGGTGAGAGGGATTTGAATCCAGGTCTGAGACCCCCCCGCCCCGAGTACAAGGAACCACGAAAGCCCAAGCCGGGGTGGCTGGGCGAGGCTGGGCGAGGCTGGGCGAGGCTGGGCGAGGCTGGGCGGGGCGGGGCGGGGCGGGGCGGGGCGGGGCGGGGCGGGGCGGGGAGGGGCTGGGCCGGGTTGGGGGCCGCCCCGGGCCGCTGCGTGCAGTGTGCAGTGACGTGTGCTGTGCTCTTCCCCGCCCACCCCTGCAGATCCTGGAGGAGAACATGAAGCTGGAATGTAAGTGCCACGGTGTGTCCGGCTCGTGCACCACCAAGACATGCTGGACCACGCTGCCGCAGTTCCGGGAGCTGGGCTACGTGCTCAAGGACAAGTACAACGAGGCTGTCCACGTGGAGCCCGTGCGAGCCAGCCGCAACAAGCGGCCCACCTTCCTGAAGATCAAGAAGCCGCTGTCGTACCGCAAGCCCATGGACACAGACCTGGTGTACATCGAGAAGTCGCCCAACTACTGCGAGGAGGACCCGGTGACGGGCAGCGTGGGCACGCAGGGCCGCGCCTGCAACAAGACGGCCCCGCAGGCCAGCGGCTGCGACCTCATGTGCTGTGGCCGCGGCTACAACACCCACCAGTACGCCCGCGTGTGGCAGTGCAACTGCAAGTTCCACTGGTGCTGTTATGTCAAGTGCAACACCTGCAGCGAGCGCACCGAGGTGTACACGTGCAAGTGAGCCCGCGACTCGGCGGCTGGGCGCTTCCAGCCGCAAGTCAGACTGCAGGGGGGACCGGACAGCTTCCGGCTGCAGTCAACCTGGCAGGTCTCGTCCGGGATCTCCGCGGGGGAATGCTGAGCTTGTCTTTTCTGCTGTGGGGACACCTCTCCTGGGTTTTCCGCAGGCGCCCGGTGGAAAGATCTCCCCAGAGCCCTGGACTGTTCTCTTCCACACCCACTGCTGCTCCGCCCCACCCCACACACCGCCTGGGGGGGCCTCCTCGGCTGGAGCAGAGCCTTTTGCACCAGGAGCTCTGGGCCCTGGGGCCTCAACATAGCAATATTTAACAATTTATTCTGATAAAAAATAATATTAATTTATTAAATTAAAAAAGAATCCTCCCACCTCATCGGGATCCGTTTTCTGCAATCAAAGTGGACTGCTTGCTTTCCTTGCGGGATAATTTTGTCGCTAGGACAAGGAGTCAAGTAGAACTGTACATAATTATCCTTTATGCAGATATTTCTACTAGTTGATTTTGCAAGTACCCCCCCCTTGCAGCACTAGATGTTTAAGAGCAGACGTCCTTTATACATATATAGATATATATACACACACGTTTATATTTTTTTGCTGTTTGCTGCTACTTATCCAGAAATTTAAGCTGGTCAGATTTGGAGTCGTCTCCCAGATTATGATTCCCATCCTTTAGTCCTCCCCAGCTCAAACTTACACCAGTAGAAGAATCCAGTTTGGAATACAGAGAGAGAGGAAAGATAATAATAAAACTCCCAGCAGTTTCCATCTTTTGGAAAGTGAGCCACTGGATAAGAGAGAATATTTTGTAAGAGACTATTTTTATATGAATATTTTATTTATATCGAGTCCACCTGTATGATTCCATGGCCTGTGCTTCTTCTTAATTCTGGTACTTGCTTTGGGCTAAGGAGGAGCGAGGCCTGGTTCCCATAGGGACCCTCACATAGCTGGGTTCTCAAGTTCTGTTGGCCAAGCGGGCAGAAGTGGCCCCTGGATGCCTGGGTTGGGGTGTCATTGGTATTACCTGGGAAAGGAATCAGATCCCCAGCCTACGCCTTTTGAGCAAGGTCACCGTGATGAGCCATGTGGCGGGCAGGCCCATGCCCTTGGCATTGGGTGACCATTAGAGGGCTTGATGGTTCACCACACGGCAAAAATCAGCTCAGGGAGCCCGCTCCTCACCAGGATGCCCCTCCCATTGCCGTGTGTCCTGACAGGTGAGGCACAGTCCTCAGTTATGGAGCAGAAAACCTGGGGTGAGGGGTCCCATGAGCAGCAGGGCTCAGCAGGCCTTCCTGGATGTCGCGGTTCTAGAGCAGACCGGCAGAGAGCTGTGGATGAGGCCTCTCTGCTCAGGGTCCACCTATGTCCAGTGCCTGCCAACCTGCAAAGCTCTCCTCCAAGAGGCTGTGGGTGTTCTAATATGTGTCCGTTTGCATTTCTGTGTGCACGTGTGTGTGTGTGTGTGTGACCTTCGGGAGTCTTGGGGTAGTCACGTGACTTTGCACCTTCAGGCACCTCTGGGGTGCTGACGTGCCTACACTGTGTGTTCTCCTGCATATACCCAGCTATGTGTGTGTCTCTCTCCATGTGCCTGAGAGATTCAGGGGGGTGTGTGCATGTGGGTGTGTGCCTGTGCATCTGCTGGTCCCCAGGTGTCTCTGCTTGCGGGTGAGGTGTGGTGTGAGGCAGACTACAGGGACCTTTGGCGATTGTGTTGAGCCACCAAGAGATGGCACCTCTGAACTCTGTGCCCACAGACACTGGTGAAACTCAGATACCTCTGAGACCACAGCCTGATGGCCCCACGCACTGGGAGCCCCTCAGTGTCTAGGCTGTGTTGGACTCCCCAATGTCAGCACTGGGCCTGGATCACAGCATGGACAAATAAAATGGCTGGATGGTTGGTTGATTTCTTCCATTGGACCATTTATTTCTTCTTTACTTGGGTGTCAGGACGGGTAGGGATGTGAAGGAATGAGTGGATGGATGGATAGCTGGATGGTTGGGTGAGTGGGTGGGTGGATGGATGGATGGATGGATGGATGGATGGATGGATGGATGGTGGAGTGGGTAGGTGGGTGGCTAAGTAGATGGGTGGATATCTGGATGGGGGAGTGGGTGGGTGGATGGGTGGATAGGTAGGTAGGTGGGTAGGTAAGGGAGGAGAAAATATACAGAAGCTTCTTATAGATCCCATGTTACAGTCTGTCTCTGCCTTAGAAAACCAGAGTCTACCATGAGCAAAGAGAGTTTCCAAGCCTATAGTTCCTCTGTTCCTGGCCTCATGGTGCCCAAGATTTGGGAAGGTTCTGACCAGCCTCCCCAGATACCAGAAATTAACCCCATGACCTTCCTTACTATTCAGACGAAGAGTGTGTCTGGCTTGAGGGCAGCGAGGCCTACGAGAAGAATGGCCAGGTTGCCTGCCAGCCTGTCACCTGGCCCCTTAGCACACTTGTAGTTCCTGACCCTGGGCCTGCTCCCTCTCTGATGTCCCCAGCTCAGTTGAGCTCTGAGCCTCAGTTTCTCCATCTGTAAAAGTAGGATAATAATATTTACATCACGGGGTCCTCCTAGTGATGATTGTATGGCACTTTGAGTTGCAGAGCAATGGATGAATGATAAATATTATTATTATTAATGAATACTGTTCTTTCCATAATGATGAGATTCTTCAAACACAATGGTAAAAAATATTGGGCACTGTGTTGGGCAAAGTTATTTCCCCCTCTTTGGTTTATTCCTAAAATGGCTTTTCAATAAAGCGGACAGGAAAAAGACCCACATCTTAAGAGACTGAATCAAAAATTTAAGTAAAATCCCCCACCTTTTTGGTATTTTGACAAACACCATGAGGATGGTGCAGGCTGCAAGCTGAATTCGGCCTTTGGACCACCAGCATGCAGCCTCTGATTTGGACGAAAACTCTCGTTTTACAGATGGAGAAACTGAGGCCTAGAGAGGAGCAGGGCTTTATGCAAGGGCACGAAGCAAGTCTAGCAGAAAGAAGACCAAGGGTGGGACTTGTGCCTCCTGGGAAAGGCCTTTCATCAACACGGTACACCCTAGCAGCAGCAAAAGAGTTTGGGAGGGGGGCTTGGGAAGGGTAAATTTCCTATTTGTTGTTCAGACATACATATACATGCATACATGCGTGTGTACTCACATTCCCGCATCCTCTGGACTTAAGTTTAAACCTCGTCCAAGGCTCCACAGGGCAGGATCTGGGCCTTCCCAAGGGCCCCGAAGGGATAGGCCTGCAGGGGGTGCCCCGGCAGCTGGCCCAGGGAACCCCAAATCCTCCCATTCTCCCCTGTCCCAGAGCCTCACCTTCTCCACCTCTGTCAGCTGTCTGGTCCTGGACTCAGTCTTGGGTCTTATCTTCCTCTACGCCCCATCGATCAGCAAATCTCATTAGTCTACGTCTAAATACACCCAAATCTGACCGCTCTCTGTCGGCACAGCCAGCAGACTTTGGTGGCAGAGTCTGGCTACGTTCGCACCATGCTGGGGTCCTCTTGTTCCAAGTCATATTGCTGGAGCACACTTCGGTCTCCCTTGCGGTTGAGAGTGGCCGGGCGGCTGGGCTCTGGACCACGAAGTGGGGGTGATGTGCTCCACTCCCAGCCCATCAACACTTAGCATGTTCTTTGTCTTCCACAAGCCTGACACAGCCACCCAGGGGCCATAGAGTATGGGCAGTGGAACCATAGAAGGAAGGGCTCCGAATTGTCCCTGAATGGCCACTTTGAGGAGAGCCACCTTCTGATCAGGAACACTGACAAGCAAGAAGTATACATATTGTTGTGGAAGCCGCTGAGATTTGGCAGTTCATCTGTGACAGCAAAGAGCCCCTCCCTCACGAGGCTCCAGCTCGTGGCCTTCCTTCTGTTCTTCCAAATGTGCCATGTTCCGTCCTACCTCTGGGCCTTTGCATCTGCTGTTCCCGCTGACCTTTGCATGGCTGGCTCTTTTTAGTTAATAAGACTCAACTCCAATGCCAACTCTTCAATAGTACAATGCCAGCGACCCTGGCTTCCAACACCTTATATCCACTATTTTTGTTTCTTTGTGGCATTTACCATTCTATTGAATGGTATTTCTCATTTATTAGCGGCTGTGCAGATTAGCGGTGAAGAACATGGGGCCAGATGCCCTGTGTGTTCAAACTTGCCTCTGCTGTTTTCTGCTGTGTAGTTTAGAGCAAGTAAATTAACCTGTGCCTGCATTTCCCCATTTGTAAAATGGGGACAGTAATAGAATCAGTGCAGTGATTAACTGAACTAACACACACAAACTGCAAAACGCAGTGCCTGGCACACCGTCAGGGCTGAGGAAGTGTGAGGCTTGGATATTAATACATTTATTAAGTTTAATGAGTGTAGGACTTCATCTGTCTTTGGTGCACTGGGTGGGTTTCCAGTGCCCAGCACATAGTTGGGGTTAATAAATCTTTGTTGAATCAGAACGACTGAAGATCTGGAGCCTGTTCCCAGATTCGCCAGGCTCCTGCTTGGGCTCGGGCGAGCTTCTAGAGCTAAGGAGCTGGGGGATGAGAGTTGGCGGGTCCTGAGTGCTCAGGGGCCAGCCGGGAGTGCAGAGACAGATCCAGCTCTTTTAAGGTGATCACAGACACATCCACTCTTCGACAAGGTGGCCACTGGTTGCCACAACGACGCTCCTGGCCCCAGAAGAATGTGCTGGAGGCAACAGCAAAACTTTGCCACCATCTTCCAGCTTAGCCTCCAAGATACCCAGCCACCCCTGACCCAGAGAAAGCGTCATGGCACAGGCTTGTGGGCGTGCACACGGACCCACGTAGCACATGGACACTGAGCGAGGGACCCAAAGGGACCTGCATGGGGCAAAGGGAGGGACCAAGCACTCACAAAGGGGAAGTGCAGGCCCACATCTGCCATGAACGGAGCCCCAGACAGACCTCACTGGCAGGCCCTGAGGGACACACACAGGCCACGCCAAGGGGTACCAGGTCATACTCATAAGATGTACACCCAGAGGCCGCTCACAGATTGAGCAACCTAGGTTACCTGGACGTTGGCTTGACCTTCACTGTTCACCTATAATCCCTGGCACCTGCTTGGCGTCAGGCCCCCAGTGTGTGTGTGTGTGTGTGTGTGTGCGCACACACGCGCGCACGTGTGTTGGGTGCAGGGGCAGGGCGGGAATCAGGGGAGTGCAGGTGGGGGGGCACCCAGGATGCTCCTGGGCTCCATTCAGCTCTGCCCCCTCTGACCATGGAGGGACTGGGCCAGGAGGGCCCTTCTAGCCGCTGAGCCTCAGCGACCTCGCTGTAAAGTGCACTCTAACCACAGGTGGGCTCCTCCTGGCTCTGGGAGTGGACATCGTGGCCAAGGCCGCACCAGCACTGTCTCACGCCAGCCCAAGTTCTGTCCCCGCCGCAGGGACGTGCGGGCGGCTCC